GAGAGAGAAAAAAGTAAAAAAAAAAACAAGATTTACTTGTTTGCTACTGAATTATTGAATTTCCATTGAATCTAACAAAACGAGATTCTGCGGCTCGACTTCAAACGCAATAAAGAGACATTTTTCTAGATAGAAATTTATGTTTCCTTATTTTTCACACTTGTTTACTTTATTGAATTTTGTCACTTTTTATAGAGGGATTTCCCTAAAATCCTTATTTTATAACGCATAATAAAAACATTCCTTCTACAATCATCTAGATAATATTATTCGAATTTTTTTATTTAGATAATTTTTTCGAGATAAAATTATTTAAATTATTTTTTAAAAATAGGATTATCTATATATATATATATTACTAGATATTATATTTACTAGATATTATCTATTAGTAGATATAATATTATCTAGATAATATTAAGTAGATAGTATTATCTAGATAACATTAAGTAGGTTATATTATCAAGACTAGATTATGTTACATAAATAATATAATCATAATTATCTTGTTTACATTATCTTATACAGATAATATTATACAATCTAGATTATCCGATGAGATAATTTTGTAAATATATAGTTATTTATTTAAATAATATATTTGTACTAAAAATTTCTTTTTTCTCTTTTTTCTCTCTTTCTCGGGAAGTTTTATAATAATTAGTCTCTGGAGAATGTCATAGTTTGAATTCTCTTGTCACTCAACATTGTTCGATATACATAGTATATATATATATATATATATATATATGTATAGTTTTGTGTGTATTTTTCAAATTATAAATTAAACGAAAAGTGCGCAGAAAGTACTTTGACAAATCTCTCGAGTAACACAAAAAAAAAAATTAAGTCACAAAAAATGTTCTAGTTTTTTTTGTTATTTAAATTTTTTGTTGTATAAATCAAAAATAGTATAAAATTGAATTTAAAAAAATGAATTTTTTATTGTTTTCGAATACTAAAATATATTACATTTTAAAAATGTCAATTTTTATCTCCTATGAATATTAATATGTGTGCTATATATATGAATATTCAATCACTTATACTTAATATTTTATATTGTAATTCAATATATTCTGTAAATAAATTAAAAGTTTTTTCGTTTTTAATTTCTTACCATTATATTGTTAATTTCTATTATTCATTCTGTAGCAAGATTAAAAATTTAATAAAATTAAATTACTTTTTTAATATTCCATATAATCGTTAAAGTTTCTTTCATTACAAATTTAAAAAGAAATATATACATTTATTTATTCAATAAAAAAAATTTTTTAAATAAATAAAATTTTAAAACGAATCTAAATATTTATGCTCACTTTTGCGAATGATTGATTTATATATATAGTGGTGAGTTGAAACATTTTTCAAGGGATTTATGATACCCTGGGATTATGTAATATTCACTTGTAGCGTTATATAAAAAAATATATATATATTCTAATACGTAATAAAAGGATCAAAAAATAACTCAACTTTGACACCCACTACAAAATGCCTAAGGGGTCACCCCTATTGTCCATGTCAAGTGATGAAATAAAATATTTCGAAAGATAAATGTACTTTCCCTCGACCCTCGACTAGAAAAAGTATTTTCTTTTGACCCCCCCTATAAACATATATATTTTATTTCTTTTCCACCCTAAATCTATAAATATATTTCCAATAATTAATAATTTACCAAAATTCAGAAACTATATATACAAAACAAATAAATTATTTATTTTTATTCGAAACAAATAATATAATAGCGGTAAAAAAAAGAAAGAAAGTAGAACACAAAAGGAAATACAAATATACAATAAAGTTTTCGTTTTTCTTTTATATAAAATAAAAGAAATCTCATTACTAATAATATTCAACAAAAAAAATTGAAATTTTATTTCCTATAGAGCAAGAAAAATTCTTTATAGTGAGAAAAATTGCTATTTTACTCCCTATAGGGACAAAAATAGAAATTTTCTTCCCAGTTTGAAAACGTCATTTTTTCCCTAGGGTTAAAAACAAAAAATATTTCTCCCCTAGTGTGAAAAATTAACGTTTTACTCCCTAGAGCCGGAAATAAAAACTAAATAAATAAAATATTTCTCCCCTAGTGTGAAAAATTAACTTTTTACTCCCTAGTGCCGGAAATAAAAACTAAATAAATAAAATATTTCTCCCCTAGTGTGAAAAATTAACGTTTTACTACCTAGAGCCGGAAATAAAAACTAAATAAATAAAATATTTCTCCCCTAGTATGGAAAATTAACGTTTTACTCCCTAGTGCCGGAAATAAAAACTAAATAAATAAAATATTTCTCCCCTAGTGTGAAAAATTAACGTTTTACTCCCTAGAGCCGGAAATCAAAACTTTCCCCTTAGTGTGGAAAGCGATCATTTTCCTCACTAGGGTAGAAATTACTGTTTTCGGCCCAAGGAAGTAAAATAAAGAAGAAAATGAAAATAGTACTATTTTACCTTATTTTCCATCTCAGTGACATTTTTTTTGTGACTAACGTTTTTTTTTCTCTCAATACTAAAAGTCTTGCATACATAAAATAAAAAAAATTAATCAAATTTAAAAAAATTTAATTTAATATTATTATTATTATTATTATTATCATTTAAGTAAAATGTCTATATTTACTGAAAATCAATTGACAGTGTTGGCTCCGGGAGTTTGAGTTGTGATATTTCGGTTCATTCGAAAGAAAATTGTTACGATAAATAGAGTTGGCTAAAGTTGAAAACCTTCCCCGGGCAAGAACCTCTGGACTTGAGAGATTCAATAAACGAGTGAAGTAACTTTCCTCAATAAGAACGTTGGTACCTTTAAGAAAATTGACATCGTAAAGTTTATGTAACTACCTTCAAGTCTCTCGCAACTCATCCCATCTAAAGAAAATGTAAGAATTGTCTTTCACATGAACATACGTAAACACACACACACACACACACACACATATTTACTTGTGTAAGCGTCGATACAAAACTCTTTTAACTGTCAACAAACTATAAAAAAAAAAAAAAAAACCTCGCTCGATTTAATATCCTTTATATGCCATTAAATTTCCATCATACGAATCGAATAACAATTTTACTCTCACTTTTTTTTCATATAATAATAATTAACCCAATTTTTTATTTATTCACTCTCATTGATTAACATTGAATCGATATTTTTGTTTGCGAAATATTTAGAAAGGGAAATTATATTTTTTAACACTGGAGGGTAAAATATTTTTTTTTATACTTAGGATGTAATACAATAATTTTCTCCACTAGTGTGGATAATGGTTGTATTACTTTCTAAGGTCAAATAGAATAATTTTCCTCTCTAGTGTGAAAATGACTATTTTGCTACATAGTACTAAAATTTTTTTTCTCTAGTGTGGAAAGAGGTTATTTTACTACCTAGTATTGAAAATTATAATTTTTCCCCCTAGTGTGGAAAATGAACATTTTTGTATTAAAAACAAAAACTTTTTCTCAAATGTAGAAAGCTATTTTACTCCCTAGTATCGAAAATTATAATTTTTCTCCCTAGTGTGGAAAGTGGATATTTCACTCCATAGTATCGAAAATTATAATTTTTCTCCCTAGTGTGGAAAGTGGATATTTCACTCCCTAGTATCGAAAATTATAATTTTTCTCCCTAGTGTGGAAAGTGGATATTTCACTCCCTAGTATCGAAAATTATTATTTTTCTCCCTAGTGTGAAAAATGAACATTTTACCACTTAGTGCCAAATTACACTTGAATAATAATAATAATAATAAATTTTTCCATTAATTTTTCTTAACAATTTAATTAATTTTTTATTTCTATCCATTTACATAATAATAAAAGTCAAATAAAATTTATTGAAAAAAATGTAAGTGTACATTTTCTAAATTTCAGTGAAAAAAAAATACTCGTATTTCGAAAAATTTAATTCTTAAAGGCCTATAAAGAAAAAAAAATCGTTTCATTATTCACTTTAATGTACGATGAGAAGATTTCAAAATGGTTTAAGAGGTTGCTTCTTTATTTCCATCCCCACTCTCAATTCCCAAAAGTCTTCTCACCTCGGGGTATATACAAGACTTTTAGTAGTATTGAGTAAAAAAAAAAATCGTTAGTCACACAAAAAAATAACTGGAATGGGAAATAATGTAAAATACGTTCTTTTTCTTCTTCTTTCTTTTTTCCGGATATAAAGTAGAGAACAAAAAAAAACGTTTTAAGAAAAGGATTTTTGCTTTCTTCTTCTTCTTCTTCTTCTTCTTCTTCTTCTTCTTCTTCTTCTTCTTCTTCTTCTTCTATTCACAGTAAAACTAAAAGTAAAAAAAAAGAGAACAAAAAAAGTTTCTCTCATGTCACAAAATCAATTGACGATTTTTAGTTTAGAGTGCAATATATCAAATGTGTCAAGAGATTACAATGTAAAAAGTATATATATATATACATGTAAAGAAGACAAGAAAACATGAAACATCGACCGAAAATATTTTTTTAAATTTTTATTCCTGATATGTAAAATTTTATTGAAAATTAAATTGAAAAAAAAATTTATAATAACTTGGAATAATTACAGCATTATTATTATTACTATTATTATTATTATTTATAAAATAAATTTTAAATAAATATTGGCTTACGAAGAAAAAGATTTTTTAGGTTATGTTCTTGAAGTAAGTGAGAAAAGCAGAATGACCAACCGTGTAAATATAAAAAAATAGACTACAGCGCCACTGCGACAAAAAATAATAGCGGGAAATTTGAAAGTATGAAAAACTTTAAATTGTAATTAAATTTTAAATTGTATTGTCAATTTTTTTTAACAAATATAAATATAAAAAAATTTAATTAAATTAGTTTAGTACTAAAAAAAAATTAATAGTACAAAATAATTTAATTCGAATACAATTACTATACTATATTTTTATTGTTTTGCAATCTTTCAAGAATAACTGTTGGTATATAAAATGCTTTAAATTCAACTAATGTGAGTATTTTTTTTTTTTTTATTACAGGAACTTACTTTATATTGTACGACTTCATCGACTTCTTTGAAAAGGATCAAGCAAGTCGATTGGATAGAACCAAGTTCCTCACAATCATGAACACGATCTTTAAGAATATGTCGCAAATTGAACGAGATGCTATCACATTCCAGGTAAGTTTTTTTTGTGATAAATTCAAGTGATTTCTTTATTTTCTATAATTCTACTGTCATATTCATTTGTAAATATATTTTTCTCATATGTTGCATAGCTGATAATATTTATATTTATTTTATATGCAAAAATAATAAATATAATATTAATTAATAATTATTAATAATAATAATGATATTATTAAAAATTATATTATTATTAATAATTAATAATATTATTAATTACTAATAATTATTTTAACGAATAACAATAATTAATTAATATTTAATAAATAAATAATTATCTCTAAATATAATCTATCTTAGAACAATTATAATAATTTAAAAGAAAAAGTAATTTCTAAAAATTAAAAATCTCAATTCAAATATCATCTCAGCATTCTGAAAATTGAACTATCAAATGTCAACAACAAAAAAATCTCTTTTAATTGCAGCATCGATAAAAACAAAAAAAAAAAAAAAAAATCATGAATAAATTTCAATCATGGTTTTAAAAAAAACGACTTCATCTTTTTTTATCTCCTGAGTTTAGAATAATTAAACCTTAATTCCTTCTCTACAACCGGATGAAAAAAGAAAATTAAAAAAGAAAAAATAGAAGAACACGTAATTCAAAGTTGAAAATTCTTTTTTTTTCCTCGACACATTCCGAATTCAAAAGGCCTTTGGGACCTTTTCCTTACTATTTATTCATCTACTGAAACGAACCAAAAGTTTTTCTTTTTCTAGAATAGGTATATATATATACACAGGCTGACGATTTCCCTCATGCAAATTCTCCAGTGTTCGAGTTAACTTTCCAATTTTCCTGTTCATCCCCCTCCCAACGCTAACCCTTCCATCCCACCATTTCAATCAGTCGAATGCATCGATCGAATTTCATTCGCAGGTGCGATCTATACCTTCGACTTTTACCCTTTTTTTCCCCCTCAAAGTCACTCTTTTTCCTCAAAGCTTAAAAAAAAACCTTAGGAAATAAAACGAAAAATATTTTACTTCCTGAAGAAACCTTATTTTTATTATTATTTTTCAAACTCTTTCGATTTTATCTTGAAAATATGACCTTTAGTACAAAATATGTGCATACTTTACAATAAGTTATAAAAAAAAGTAAAAAAAAATGTTTTTAAATAAAAAAAAATACGAAATTTATAAAAATTTATGAAAACTCATAAGTTTATAAATTTTAAAAAATTAATAAATAGAAATATTAAAAATATTTTGTAACTCATAAAAATTCATAAAAAAATGCGTTATAAAAGTAGAAAATAAAAAAAAATAATAAAAAGAAATATTAAAAAAATTTATTATTTTCTAATAAAAAATTAATAAATAATAAAATTAATATTATTAATTATTAAAAAAATACAATTATTTTAAAACAGAAGTTTTCTTTTTTTTTCATTTTTACATTTCTGATTTATATCATGTTTTTTTCTATGCTTTTATATAATTGATTTTTGCAATTTTCCTCTCCTTCGTTTTGTTTTTTTAATTTAAAATTTATTATTTTATATTTATATAAATAAAAATCATAAATATATATTCATATTTATTTTTTATTTCACTTTCATATTATTCCATTTGTTTGTTTTTTTTGTATTTATTTTCAATTTTTGTTACCGCTTTTTTTTTAATTATAGATCGAGATTTTGTTGCAAAATTGAAAAAAAAATTTATTTTTAAATTTCTTTCTTTTTTTCGTTTGTTTTAATTATTTCTCGTTCACATCACATGTATTTTATAAACAAAAAAAAAAATATTTTCTTTGATCAACAATTTCTACGCATTCATATGGAAAAATTAATATTATTTCGATTAAAAATTTTAAACAAATAAACAAATTTGAAAAATCGGAAAATAATCAAAAATCATAATTGAAGTAAATTTTTATTCTCTTTCTCTCTCTCTCTCTCTTTTCTGGGGATATATTTTTTTCTACACACATTTTTCTGTTATGAAAACGCCCCTAAATCGCTCGAGTGTTAAAGCCCCGGTAAATATAAATATTTATAAGACAAACATATATGACAGTACATCCAGTTTGGATGAAAAGCTTGGAAAATCCACTTGGATTGTTTGTTTCTCTTATGTGAGAATAATCCGCACCCCGAGCTATGAGATTTTTTCATACATATTTTTAAATTCTCCGAGTCTTTCCTATTTTCTTTTTTTTTTTTACAAAAATTTAATGTTTCACAAATCGAAAAATCAATGAATTATTGAAAAAAAAAATTTGTCTTCTATTTTTTGCACATTGAAATATTTTATTATACAAATTATTATTATAAATTCTATTGCAAAAAAAATAAAATTTTTTTTTAAATTTAATTTATTACTTGTTATTAATTAGTTAATTAATTAATTTATATTTATTGTTATTAATTAATTAATAGATTAATTTATATTAATTTATAAAAAAAAATAGGTAAACTGTCAGGTTAAGACAATAATTAATAAAATAATTCATGTCATTAATTTTTTTCCCCAACGTGCTTAGATTGTATGTAGAATAAAACTAATGATTTTTTTTTCTCCCCTAAAAGATATATATATATATTAAATTAATCTTTTTCTTTTTAAATTAATAATTCATTGCATCAAGACGGTGTAGAATTCAAGAATAAAGTAAAATCTCTTGATACATTAATTTTGTAAAGGAAATTTTATTTTTTTTTCCAATTTTGTTTTACTGTCTCGAAATAAATTTATTCTTATCACTTTTTTCCTATTTCCAATCGTACATATACATATATATATAAAACAAAGCGTAGAAATTGCAGGGGATATATATATTTTTTCCTCGAAGTAACCGCATTTTATTTTTAGAAATCTCAATCCCTGAATAAAAATCACTTTTTGATTAATTCATTCAGGTTTATTCGCTTTAAATATAATCGAAGTGATAAATGTCAACATTTTATTTAAAAATAAACTTCAATTAAATGCTTGAAAAATTGAAAGGTTAAAAAAATTTTTATTTTTAGAAAATTGAATTTTTTTCCAAAAATAAATAAAAATTTCGCCACTATATACAAGAAAAAAAAATATATATATCTCTCTCTATATTATATTATAAAAAGATTTTGCATCTGTCTCCAGTATGGGTCATTCCATGTCAAGTGTACCCAATCAGTTTTTGATAAGGTTAGGTTAGATTAGCTACTCTTTACATGTGAATGACTCATATATGCCTATATTAGTATTTTAGTTCTGATTTTAAACCTCAAACCCACAGACACGAATTGACGTAGAAACACCCATAGATCTACTTATATTAATATTAAAACGAACCTAACCTCAAAAATCAAGGTTCTAGGTCTCCATTATTCAAGGTCATGGATCAAACATAACCTTAAAATTTAAGGGCATAGGTTTCCATGATTCAAGGCTTTAATTCGAACATAACCTCAAAATTCAAGGACAACATAGGTTTTGGGTATTCCCCTAACCAAGAAATGAACATAACCTCAAAATTTAGATAAAATTTTTATAATTTTAATATTTGCAATCCTTAAAAAAAATTTAAAAAAAATAAAAATAAAAAAATACCTTAATGGTATATGGTATATATATATATATAGGACAAATGGATTCATTGATAGTGTGTGTATGTGTATATTATTTTTTGGTCCCACTCGCGATATTTGATATTGTTTTACAAGCGAAAAGAAAGAAGAGTAAAAAAAATTGTTACACACATATATATATATATATATAGAGTTGAAACAAAACATGGTAAGAGCACTTCTTTTATTATTGGTTCGTGTCTGCTTTGCCCTCGGGGGGGAAAAAAAGAGGAAAGGGAAGAGGAGATAAAATACGAGGCAGATACTGGAAAGAAGAGCAGGTAATTGCCTGGTGGATGTGTCTCTCCTCTCTTTACGTCTTTTTTTTCTATCATCCCCAAAGAAGAATATAACAAATTCCTTTATTTTCAACCCCACTTTTTTTTCATTTTCTTTATTATAAATCACTGCAATGCTTTATGTAGTAATTAATTTTCATTAATAAAAATTAAAAACACTTATAAAAACAAATTTAATTTTTATATTCACGATTCCCTTATTACACGAAAAAACATAAAACTCATAATTTCTTTCTTCTCATAAATTCCTAAACAATAACTTATACAAAAAGTTTAAAAAACTTAGAATGTCTCATAACTCACAAAACTAAAGTAACTCATTATAATCATAATCACTCATAAACTCATATTTTTTCACTTAGCTCATAAAATCATGCAAGATAACTTAACGAAACTCATAATTCCTCCTGTAACTCATAAACAAAAACTTATATTCATAATATCTTATACAACTTATAGACACAAATCATACACCTCATAATTTCTCATATAACTCATAAATTCTAAAACGATAACTCACAGAAACTTATAAACCCTTAATTTCTTATATAACTCATTAAATCATAAAAATATAACTCATACAACTTATAATTCCACACGAAACTCATGAACAAAAACTCATAAAAGCTAAAAAACCAATAGATCGATTCAAAATGTCTCATATAACTCATAAAAAAACTCATAATTTCTATCAAAAAACTCATAAAAGCTAATAAAATCGTAAATTCAAAATTTCCCTACAACTCATATATATTCATTTAAATAAACATGTAATATGTTGTAAGAACTCATAAAAACTCTTAACTTGTAATTGCACAAAAATTTTGGGAAAAATTTCTTGTAGAGTATTTTTGACCTAAAATAATTGGAATATTTTGTTATTTTTTTTGCAATGTTTCACTCTTATTTTTATCTATTTGTTCGTTGTTTTTTGCAAATATGTATATATATATATGACTTTTGAAAAAAAAACAAATATAGATTTTTTTTTCTTTATATATAAGTTCAAGGTTCTCGGAAATTAAATTGTTCACGACAGGAAGGGAAAATTTATAACCTCCACACATACACCAGAGTATACATATGGACTTCCGGTGAACGTAAATCTCAGCCCTTTTTCAATGTCGAATTT